AGAATTCTAACTCCATTTTGAGTCTTGACATAAATCCAGCTTTCCTTTGGGTTCTTCCAGACCACAAATTACAAATATAAAAAGCTTAGTCCTCAGGCAGGGTACCTGTGAAAGTAGATTATGACATTCCTCCTCAGGGAGGGGCAGTCTTGCCCTCCAGGGAAAAGCTTAGATGTTCCCCTAATGGAAACTGACCTGCAGGGTCACATGGTCTGTAGTCATACCTTGACCATCATAAGTGTCAAAGGACGGCACAGGATATTCACTAACATCAGCAAATTATTTGGAAATTATTAAAGTAATTTAAAGAATCCGTTATACTCTAATTATATTACCTGAGGAGCGGCTGCTGAGCTTGAACTGCTGACCTTTCTGTTCAAACTGACCTTGTAGTCCTGCACATTAGCCCATAATGCCACACCACAACTCCATTATAGTAACCAAGAACCTATCATATACAGTATTTTGTTGTTGTTGTTAACTGCCGTTAAGTCTGTTCTGACTCATAGCAATGCTATTTAGGGTTGCCAAGGAGCAGCTAGTGTGTCTCAATCACCAACCTTGTAGCTGGCAATCCAATGCTTATCCTACAGCACCACACCAGGACACCTTTAAAGGATATGTGATAGTTCGATTAGACAACATTGTTGTTGATAAGTGCCATCGAGTTGGTCCTGACTAATAGAGTCCCATAATAGGCTTCCCAAGGAGGAACTGGTGGGCTTGAACTGCTGACCTTGTGGTTCACAGTCCAGTGCTGATCCTACAGCCCAACACCAGGAGTCCATAACTAAAAGGATGCAATTATAAATATTATTAAATAAATTATGTGACAATAAAACTAAACCAAACCAGTTGCCATCCTCTGGATTCCGACTCATGGTACTGTACTCTAGAGTGTTTCCAAGGCTCTGAACATCCAGGAGTACCTCACCAGGCCTTTCTCGCTAAGTACCTCTCAGTAGGTTTGGACTGGAAAATGATAGGGTAGTTGGGATTTTAACTGTTTTTCCCATTCAGGGACAAGTATTTTACTAAACTGAGTGTTACATATACTTCATGGCCACCCCTGGAATTGTACCTTGGGAAGTTTTTACTTCCAACTATGTGGTCCAAGGATATAGCAATCCTAAACTCAATTGTTGAGCTAAATTGTGTCTACATGGTGTATTAGAGACTATAACAATCACATCAAGTCATCCTTAAACAAAACTAAATTTCCATTTAATATCTAATTGATGTGAAGTTTGATTTTCATATTCAGTTGGTGTGGGTGAAAGTTGTGGCTTTCTGTTCCCATCAAGATTTACAACCTCAGAAATCCAAGACAGGGTCACTGTGAGTCAGAAGAAACTTGATGCCACACAACAACAACAACAATTTGTATGTACACCAAAATAAAAAAATTACTAAGTTTGTAGCACATAATGTAAGTAATAAAAACATAGAATATTAAGATGATCATCTTCCTGCTCTGATGAACGGGATGCAAATAATTCCCACTGCATAATCCTCATCATTGCTGATGTTTGAAGGATTTTGGCTGTAAGCATAGAATATCAGAAAGATTTTTACCTGTGCTTTATTGACTACGCAAAGGCTTTCGATTGTGTAGATCACGACAAGCTATGGACAACATTGTAAAGTATGAGCAATCAGGAACACTTAACTGTGCTCATGAGGAATCTATACATGGACCAAGAAGCAGTTTTTAGAACAGAACACGAAAACACTGAATGGTTTAAAAGTAAGAAAGGTGTGCGACAAGCTTGTATTCTTTCACCATACTTATTAAACCTGTAT